GGTAGCCATGGCAACCAGCCCCTTTAGACACCGCCACCCCCCCAGCCACTCCTGACTGCCGAGGGAGCAGGCAATGCTGCCAGGAGGCCCGTGCCAGCCCCCTCAGAGGGGTGACCAGGTGTGGGTGTGCGGCAGTCACTCCCACGCCAGCTGTTCAGTGTTTTTGTGTACTTCCTGTCCAGTGTATGGGGTCTCTGCCCCTCTCAGGCCTGTCCGAGGCTGTTCCGTGCTCTGTCTGACTCCTTGACCGTGGTAGGCAGTGAACTTTGCAGCCCTGCTGACAGGACTTCAGGTCAGGCTTGCCCCAGGGGATGGAGGCCCGGCCCAGGTGGGTGGAGAAGCCGTGAGCAGGGACTGTGGTGGGAAAGGAGAGGTCCCCACAGGTGGGCAGTCAACTTCTCAACTTACTTCAGATGGAAAAGAGCCAGTAGCTGTATCTCTGACCACAAACCACTCTGCCACACTTGTGTTGGCCACTGTGGGCTGAACACAAGGCAGAGGCTTCGCCCCAGAGCCTCCCGAGGCGCTGGCCATGGTGTTGCTCTTTCTTGTAGCCCTTAGGTCTCTACTGGCAAGACTCTGGAGCCTGGTTCCCAGGTTGGGAGACAAATTGGCCCTCTGCCACACACCTGACTTAGCACCTGTCCTTCCCTTGACTGCTGCGCCCTCTAGTGTGCGGAGAGCTTGCGCCCGCAGAGCCTGCCCACAGCAGCCTGGCAAAGCACTCCCCAATGTCCCGGTCAGGGGTCGTCCAGACGCGGTTCTCGGCGGCCGAGCCACATGTCACTCCCCCTTGGACTGACCCCCTTAGGCCCTACAGACACCAAGACATCTCAGCAGCCAAGAATAGCCCCCTTCCGAGCTCTAGCAGGCTGAACCCCACTTTCTAGCCTAAGCCCAGGCTGAACCTGCTGAGCAGGATGTGGCCAAGAGCTGCCTCAGGGTTTCAAGATGTGTGAGCTCAGCTTCAGGGAAAGACCTGTCAGTGAGGAGGCCTCTGTCAAGCCAGAGGGGTGAGGGGTGCTGCGCTCACACGCATGTGTGTGTATGTGAGAGAGAGGAACGTGAGTCTAGGATCTCTCATGCCTAAGGGAGTGGACTCAGGGCCGGCTGGGTTAGTTCCAAGGAACCAGCTGTGGACAGGTCTGGCTGGAGCTGGTCAGGACTAGTGTATGGGTAGATCTGGGCTGTGGACAGGTCTGGCTGGAGCTGGTCAGGACTAGGTATGGGTGGAACTGGGCTGCTTCACCAGCTTCCAGACATGGCCACCTGAGCTATCTTCCTTCACAGGGATGGGCACCTTGCCTTTAAGGCTCCTGGCTGTAATATGGAAGCCACCACAGACAATCTCACGCAGAGGGAGGGCAGAGGCGGCGGCAGCCTAGTTTATCTACAGGAGCACAGGATGAACCTGGGGAGTTACAGAGGAGCTGAACGGTGTGCAGCCTATGCTGCAGTGCGTTCAGTGAGACCAGGCTTCCAGCTTGAGGGTGGGAGGGAGCCAGGGACTCCATGACAACTGGCCCCTCATGCCGGGAGGTCAGGTCTGAGCTGTAGGCAAGCTGTGAGGGTAGCAGACAGAGGAGGGGATTACAGAGCATGAAGCCAAGCGCCCTGCACAGGCATGCTTGGCTTACAGGTGGGCCTCTGGCCACTCCCAGTCACCACATCAAATGGGGGGAGAATGGGGACAAAGGTGCACCCAGGTAACTCCACAGGCTCACTGCCCTGCCTCTACCCGGTAACTCCAGGGATCACTGCCCTGCCTCTACCCGGTAACTCCAGGGATCACTGCCCTGCCTCTACCCGGTAACTCCACAGGCTCACTGCCCTGCCTCTACCCGGTAACTCCACAGGCTCACTGCCCTGCCTCTACCCGGTAACTCCAGGGCTCACTGCCCTGCCTCTACCCGGTAACTCCAGGGATCACTGCCCTGCCTCTCCTACCAGGCCTCAGCAACTGAGTATCTGAGTGGGGCTCAGGAGCAGGTGAGGGTCTTGGTGAAGCATCCAGTACAGAGCTCTGGCCTGGGCCGACCGATTGTGTCCTGTATGCCTGCCATGGGTGGCAGAGGACCTACCTTCCTGGCCTCGTGTCACCAGCCCCAGGAGATCCACATCTAGCAATGGTCCACCTTCATCTTTTTTTTTTTTGCCCTCATACTGGGGATGCCTTCTCCTAGCTTTTTTGTTAAAGGTTGGCACTCTACCACTTGAGCCACAGCTCTACTTCCCAACTTCTTGGCGGATAATCAGTCTCACCAACCTTCCTGCCAGCTGGCTTTGAACTGCAATCCTCAGATCTCAGCCTTATGAATATCTAGGGTTATAGGCTTGAGCTCACCCTAATCTTTTCCAGTTCGGCTACCTGCTTTTTTTTTTTATTTGGTGGGTCATGGGCCTTGAACTCTGGGCCTGGGCGCTGTCCCTCAGCTCTTCACAGCTCAAGGCGAGTGCTCTACCCCACTTGAGCCACAGCGCCACTTTGGGTTTTCTGGTGCTTTATTGGGGATAGAGTTTCACGGACTTTCCTGCCTGGGCTGGCTTGGAACTGTGATCCTCAGATCTCAGCCTCCTGAGTAGCTAGGATGACAGGCGTGAGCCACGGCGCCCCGTTCGGCTTCTTTCAACATTGAAGCCTACCTCAGACTGCTGTCACAAAATCCCTGGGACACAAGGTGTGTCTCCACTATCATGATCTCCCATCACAGCCAGCAGGGGCAGCAGTGTCTTGTCGTGGTTTGGCTTTGGTCAACACCTCCCCCATTGCAGGCACAACCCTTCCTCATGCTAGACTCTCAGGTGTGGTCCATGTAGGGAAGAACTGAGGGCAGCTCAGTGAACTGGCCTGGCCAAGACCTGGAGGGAAGGACACGTGGCCAGTAGGGAAATGCAGATAGGGTGCTTCCTAGGCTAGTTCCAGTGGCCTGCGGCTCAGTTCCCAGTCCCACAGGTGAACACGAGCTTGCTCAGTGAGTACCTACACTGTGTCTCCTCTGCCCCACGCTGAGGTTCCTCCAGACAGCTCCAAGAACAGAGCAAATTGGACAGAAGCAGTGCAGTGGGCCTCACCTATATCCTGGCCACTGTGAGCCCACCATTCACGGAACTCCATCGTGTTGACTGAGTCAAGGGTGTGTGAGAATGTGGTAACACCAATGCGACCTCCGTGGGGACCGAGCCTGGTCGATTCCTGCCTGCCCCGCAGAAGAGTGAGCAATGCCACGCGTCAAGGTGAGCAAGCGGCAGGGACTTGCTGAGCTCAGATCGAACTCTGTCATCAGCAGCCATACCAATGGTAGCCTGGGCCACCTCTCAATAACCCCCACACCCCAGAGCTGGACCACAATCCCGAGTACATGGAACTGGATACAGACACATGCCCAGAGCAGGACTGCCCAAGGGAGACAAGAGGCCCTTGTCTTCAACCTAAGAGCCTCAGCCCGCCTGGCCCCTAACCCACTCTTACCGCCCCTCCCTCTAAGCCAGACCCTGGAAAGCTGACAAAAGAGACCCTCCAGGTCCCAGACAGCCAATGAGGTACATGCTTGTAATCTCAGCACTTTTGGAGGCTAAGACAGATTTGATCGTTTGAGGCCAGCTTACTGACCCTGTGATTTAAAAAAATACACACACACACACACACACACACACACCCCTCCAAGTCCTGTTTGACTGGGCCTTGTCTCTGAAGAAGGTAAGGCGGGCCCATCAGTGAGCCAGGGGTTCAAGCCCAAGGGTAGGAAAGACTGGCTTAAATTTAAAACAATGGATACTGGATGCTAGTGGGTCACACCTGTAATCCAGAAGTGGAACTGGGGCTCAGGGCTCAACCTTGAGCAAAAATGGGACAGCCATTGGGGCTTGGAAGGTGGCTTAGTGTGGTAGAGTGCTTGAAATACAGGAAGCCCTGGGTTCGATTCCTGAGTACCACATACACAGAAAAAGCCAAGAGTGGGTCTGTGGCTCAAGTGGTACAGTGCTAGCCTTGAGCAAAAAGCACAGGAACAGTGCCCAGGCCTTGATTTCAAGTCCCAAGACTGGCAAAAAGAAAAAATAAAAAAAAAGAAAGAAAACACCCCAAACGGACTGAAGCTAAGGCCTAAGAACCACACCAACCCTTTAAGACAACTAACAGACCCCTGTGGGCCATCAGAGCCACATCAAGAGCTAGCTGAGTGTTTTGGATACAATTTTAAAAGAATTGTTTAGTCAGGCACCAGTGGCTCACGCCTGTAACCTAAGCTACTAAAGAGGCTGAGATCTGAGGATCGCAGTTCAAAGCCAGCCCGGGCAGGAAAGTCTGTAGGACTCATGTTCCATTAAACACCAGAAAACTGGAAGTGGCGCTATGGCTCAAGTGGTAGAGCGCTCGCCCTGAGCTGAAGAGCCCAGAGTTCAAGCCCACAACCGCCAAGAAAAAATTAAAAATAACTGTTCGCATGGCAGGGAGGTGACACGGCGCTGGAATGTGGAAGGGCTGGGACCTTGGGAGCTGGGAGACCAACGTGGACAGGTAACGGTGTTTCCCCTGGGCCCGGACTCTCACACACCTTCCCTGCCTGGCAGGGAAGCTATGTGATCCTTCGGGATCTTCCTTTCACCAGCTGTCATGTGACATACAGCTTGTTTTCCTGAGACCAGAATGGGCCTCCTTCCCCTCCAGGGAAGGGCTGGGATACGCCAGGGCAGGCCAGGCCCAGGAGTGGATCCGTCCCCAGCTCAAAACACAGCTCAAGCAGCAGAAGGCACAGGTAGAGTGAAGGGTGGGGCGTGGCAGAGGTCAGCGGTGGGAGCCCCCACAAGACCACTGGGCCCCACTGCCTCCTGGACACCACAGGGACCTTCCTAGGCGCAAGCCAAGCCTCAGCCTCTCCTCCTATTCTGGAGAACAGTCTAGAACGGACTGTGTAATGGGAAGAAATGAGTCCATTCTGCTACACCTCAGATTATAAATTATGTGGGCCCCTTTCCAACAGAAAAAAGACAAACACCAAAAGAAGCCCCAGGAAGAGCACACACGCAGCTGGGCTCCGTTTACTCACTACCAGACCCACAGGCACAATCAATGCTGCTATCCACCATCACCCACCTAGACGGCCACTGCTTAGTTCCAGGTCTCCAGTGTCCCTAGGGCCTCTGAAAAGACTACCCCGTGTGGCCAGTACACAGGAACCCGTGCGGCCACTCCAGGATGTGGCCGAGAGGAAGCCGGGCCCTGTGGTCACTTCCCACTGGCTGTCTTCTGCACCACTGCGGGCTCTGACAGGACCTGCTGCCGAAGCTGCTCCACCAGCTCCTCCACATAGATCTTGAATAGGGGGACAGGGTCCTGGATGAGAGAGGGCAGGAGTGAGGCTCGCGTTTGCCCAGAGCAGCTAGAGCTCTGGCAAAGGCGGAACCAGCTGGCGGCCACTGCTCAGTGGATATGGGGTCGATGCCCAGTGAGCCCCTCCAGCTCAGCGACAGGGTCACACGCGGTTGCTGTGGCAGTGGAAGGCACCGCCTACACAGGTGGCTTTCTTCCCTTAAGGACACAGGAGTCACAGGCCTGCCTCTGGCTGCCCTGGGGTCACAGATACGCACTCAGTGGAGTGGGTGTGGGCAGCTAGCGGCCAATGCCACAGGCAGCTCCCTGAGCCAGCAGCCCCCACAGGCCCCAGACCCTTTTTGGGAACAGAAACAAAAGAAGGCTTTGGAGAATGTCAGGTCCTGAGTAAATGCAGCAGGGCGAAGGTCCTGCTCTCCCCAGGGGGCCAGGGGCAGGGGGCCAGGAAGCAGAGGGGCAGGGGGCAGGGAGCAGCATGCACAGCAGCAGGCGTGGCCCTCCCCAGCCCAGGCTCTCTCCACCCGTCTGTCCCTTGGCCTGGAAGGCAGCAGCAGCCCAGCGCTCACCTTCTCTTCCAGGAGCCTCTGCTTCTCCACAGCCTCCTCCAATGTCAGGCCAACCCACTCGGCCTCCGCCTCTGGGATGGCAAAGTCCTGGCCAGCAATGGAGAGCTCAGTGAAGCCCAGTGTCTAACAGGCAGGAGCAGCAGGGAGGGCAAGGGGAAGCCCTCACCTTGTACTTGCTGTAGATGGCTGCCCTCCGTTCGGGGTCATCCGGGTGCAGCTGAGGGTCCTGGCGGGCAAGCCTCAATAGCATACCTCGCTTCAGATCCATCCCAAACTTGGAGCACAGGTCCTCCTTTGGGGTCTGGAAGGGGGTTCACATGAGGCCAGGTGCTGTGCCAGTGCCCCACCACCCCACCCACCAGCCCAGAGCGGGCCAGAAGCAGAAGGCTGTGCTCACTCAGATCCCTCCTGCGGGCAGCAAAGACCCATTTGGGCTGCCGTGGGGGGTGGTCACGGTTTTGTGCTGGCCACAGCAAACACCGTGTGCCCCAGTGTCCAGATGCTGAGCCTCCCTGGAATCTGACCGCCAGGCCCTGTTACACACGCACTGCCCCCTTGCCTTGAGGATATAGAAGTCGAACCCATAGGCCTTGTCGATGAGATCCAAAGTCCGCATGGTGACAGTCACAGTGAACTTCTTATCCAAGATCTCGCTGTACAGCTCCCGCTGGAGCAGCTGGGGCTTCCACACCTTCTTCACCCTTGCTGAGAGCTGAAGGTGCAACAGAGACTCCGTAAGTGTATCCCTTCCAGGGCAAACGGGACCTAAAGGACCTTCACGGTGGGCTGGGCCACTGGCTCCCACTCACCCATGCTGCTCCCGCTGGAGGCTCTACCTCCTACGCGCTGCTGTGAGATTCTAGACCTGGGGCTGACCCTGGCCGCTAACTCAGGGCTGGCTTCTCCTTCCCTTGACCCCAGCCTGTTGATGTATGCTCCAAGTGCTCAGATGACAGTAACATAAGCAACCCAAGGGCCACATGAAAAGGAAGGTGGGAGCCTGGCGGGGCTCCAACAGTCTCCTCTCCTAGGACTTAGGCGAGACCAGAGGCTGACTCTGCCCCTGCCAAGGGTGTCTCTGCTTTCCTTGCTTTTCTCTTTTCGTTTGGGTACTGAGGCTTGAACTCAAGACTTTGGGATCTTGCTTATCTTTTTCACTCATGGCTGGTGCTCTACCACTTGACTCATACTTCCACTTAAAGCTTTGTACTAATTAATTAGAGAGGCTGATCTTCAGATCTGTCCCCCAAACAGCTAGGATTATAGTTTCAGGCCCCAGTGCCCAGCTCCTTCCTACCTTGTCTGTGTATGTGTGAGTGAGTGACAGAGTGTCCCAGTCCTGGGGCTTGAACTCAGGGCCTGGGCACTGTCCCTGAGCTTTTGTGATCAAGGCTAGTTCTACACTTGAGCCCCAGCTCCACTTCCAGCTTCTTTGGCAGTTAACTGGAGACAGTCCCACGGGCTTTTCTGCCCCAGCTGGCCGGCTCTGAACTGTGGTCCTCGGGTCTGTGCTGAGCCGCTGACGCGGGCCTGCCTGGCTAGTTCTGTCCCCACCGCACAAGCGAGGCCGACGGGGCCCAGCTCAGCCCAGCCCGCAAGCTACTGCGGACCTCAGCCGACCTCAGCGCCTGCCCCCATCCACCCGGGGCTGGGCCGGGCCCAGGCCTGTCCCAGGCAGCCTCCTCTCAGGACACCCCGGGGCCGGCTCTCCCAACCATGTTTGCCTGTTTTCCGCACGGTTCCCCTCCCCACCCCCTTGGCGCACCGGACGCCATAGCAAGCCGGTGTGCCCGGCTGATTCGCCGCGCCGGGGGGGCCGGCCGG